AATAATAAGTTTGAAAACCAAAACAGTAACCTAGAATGGTATCTCCATATAGCATTGAGGATGCGGAGAAAGCCTGAACACTGTATACATGAGGGTGGAGTGTATATACATATATATGTATGTCAGCAAATCTGTGTGCATGTGGATATGTGGATGCACAGGAAGATCTTAAGGCAGCCCCTGGAGAGGAAAATGTTGGCTATTCATGGTTCAAAACCTCCAGAGGAGTTGTACCCTTCTCTTAGGAAGTATTGAACATGTGTAATATGTTTTCCCAGTAGCAATATATAGCTGTGAAAGTTGGACTGTAAGAAAGGCTGAGTGTCAAAGAATTCCTGGAGAAGACTCCTGCGAGTCCCTTGGACTGCAAGACGATCAAACTGGTCAGTTCTAGAGGAAATCAACTCTTTAGAAGGCCAGATCCAGAAGATGCAACTGAATTATTTTGGCCACCTAATGAGAAGTAAGGACTTACTGGAGAAGAGCCTAATGCTGGGAAAGATCGAGGGCAAAAGAAGAAGAGGGCAACAGAGAACGAGGTGGCTGGATCGAGTCACTGAAACAGTAGGCATGAGCTTAAATGGACCCAGGGGATGGTAGAGGACAGGAAGGCCTGGAGGAATGTTGTCCATGGGATCTCAATGGGTCAGACACAACTTCGCAACTAACAACAATATGTCACAAATATATGCAAAAAATATTAGTTTAGCTTTATTGAACTTCCCCAAAAGCAAAAAAAAAAAAAAAAAAACCAACAACTTTCTCAAGCCATGACTTAAGGGCTATGAATAATAATGAAAATACTTGGTGCATATTTTTGAACATTGTGATATCACATGCCTATTGGTATTCTGGTCTTCAATACTCCAATTCGCCATGGAACAAAAAGCAAGCTTCCTTTCTAAAAGGTGTATCATTAGTTACTGTGGTGGAAATGCTACAAATTAAGCTGTTTAAGATATTTTTAAAAACCAAATACAGAATTAAAATATGCACTTTTTTCTTAAACCAAAACATTCTCCATTATTCAAATGCTAATATTCAATTTGCAGCATGGCCATAAAACTCTCTTCTCTCAGAATCATTCTGTCTTTAATATAATAGGTTATTTCCCCCTCCCTCCTTTCCCAGCTCATTTGTAGAAATGAATATAACATATTGTGAAATCCCTAATATCCAGCTAAATTCAGTAATTTGCTTCTCTTAATAGTAATTAAAACCTTGCCTTTCTTTAAAAAAAATGATCATTCATTGAATTGGGTTGACTTAAATATTGGACTTATAGTGAGTTAATTTGTCTTCTATTACATTCTTCATTAAAAAATATGATGCTTGCAAAGATAAATTATTCTAGGGCAATGCAGCTAACTCTAAAGCTATAGAATGATAGCACAGTTATGATTTCCCTAACCCTAACTCTAACCCTAGCACTTAATGATATAGTTAGACAGTAGAACATTCTCTCTAGCCACTTATCTATCACTTAAAACTCATCTATATTCAGACAGGGGTGTTAGCTGTTTCTGTTGTTATTTCTCATTATGGAACTTTAAAAAGGTGAATGACTATAACTGAAGATTTGGTAGACAAATGGAAATCATGGGATTGAACCAAAGCATTAACAAATGTAAATTATAGGGTTTTTTTCATGAGATCATCTTGAGGGGAAGACTAATGACATAATGACAGCATTGCCATACATATGGAAGATGCCAGACCAGTACCAACATTTCTACATTAGTTTGCAAACAGACTGAAATTTTTATTTAATAGTAAAGAGCTGGACTGTGCCAATTTTTTGAAGCAAAACGGATCATCTTCAGATGGGTTGCACAGTGTGCAAAGCCAGGACAAAACATAAATTGGATTAATCTAAAATGTAATTGAAAATTAACCTTCGTGGTAAATTAAGTGAGGCTAATATTATTAAATTGGTTTTCTAAGTGTATTTTTCCTCTGATCAAACAAAAATTACAGTCCGAGATAACTTTTAAAAATCACCTGGGAGCTGCCTGTTCTCAAACTTTAAATAACTGCCTGGACTCCTAGGACTCGGATTATGAAGCTTTAATGTGGTTACTCAGTAATACAAGATGGCTTGTTGTCATGCTCATTAAAGAAAGAATTTGA